CGACATCAAAGGGGAGGTTTCAAGTCTAGAAAATGTGTCCTGATTGCACTCGACATTGTCTTTACAGGGAGATTTAAGTTTGGCCCCAGGAGTCATGGGGGATTTGTCCCCAGATTGGCACACAAGGTCCTCAGCTTTTCTGCATTTTTTTACAAGTTCTCTCTGCTCAACCTTTTTTTGGGCCTTTTCACGCTTCTTCTGTTCCAACTCCTGCATTGCCTTCAGGGCTCTGGTCATCAGCCGACCGCTGGCCGGGAGGTGGGCAGGCTGCTCATCAAGAACAACTTTATTCACCTTATCTGGAATTTGCTTTAAATTCAGGACGGCCGTCTTGGATTTCTCAGGAGATAGGCTAATAGGCACAGGAGCATTCCTACTCGCTAAATGTCTCTGCCGATGGAGAGGCGGAGAAGTGGAATGAAAAACTGTACAAGAGATGGAAGAAATCTTTTTCTTGGAACTGCTTAACTTGTCAGAGATCATGCTCGTTATAACAGACGTTGAAGTCTTCTTACATTCTAACTGGTCTGATTGGTTAGAGGATGAAGTCTTACTGTTTTGGCTTACATCTAAAACTGATATCCTTTCTGCTTCTGGGCTACCTAACCCATCAGTAACACTTGCAACATTGGATGCATCAACAGATGTCTCTTGTGACGATTCTGATGAGAGACGAAGAATACCTGTCCCACCACTTGCTTTTAACTTTTTAACTGAGACCTTTTCTGGTTCTGAACTGGTTGCCTTATCTATGGAAATACTTTCTTTACTAGCCATGCTATCTGAAACTTTAGAGAATGTTTCAGTCACTTTCGTATCTGCCGTTTTTTCTTTCTTTGTACATCCGGGTTCATCAGTGGGATGTATGGTTAAACTGGAGTTCAGGAACTTCTTTCCCTTTATGTCCTTACGTATCAATTTGACAAAAGGCAGTCTACACTTAGAGACCAGACTTGCATGCTTTTCTAGCCTTGCTAATTGATCAGTAGTGTCAGTATCTAAACTCAAGGATGGTGTCTTATTGGTCTGTTTTTCTTTTTGTTCAGTCATTCTGTCAGTTACCTTTTTACTAGTCACAGTTTCTGTTTTTTCAGTTTGACTGACACTCTTCGGACTCTCTGACAACCTAGATTGGTCATTGGGACTGACTTTCGTTCTGGGCTTTACAGCCTTTTTAACACTTGAGCTACCAAGCTGTCAGATGCTGCTTGAGTCAAGATGTCACTGGTGTTACTGGCTGTCTGTCTTACTTCTAAATGAACAGACTTGTTAGAGGATACGATGGTCTCAACAGGGGTTGAGGATTTTTGCTTGTTTGACATTCCTGTCTGGCAAGCGGAAATGCCAGTTGTACCTAAGACCTGGTTTCAACTGGAGTGCTTTTACACGGCAAGTTTCCTGATGGTTCAGGAGGCAGATTAGTTTCAGCAGGCGCCACAGTCTTACGCTTATCCATTAACACTGATTGGTCAGTGGGCCCACCACTTGATGAGGAGACACTTGGAACCACTGGCTTTTTACTGACAACAGATGAGCTCTTTTTCTTACAGGGCACTTTACAAAAGAGAGTGCGGTCTGGCATTGGATTGGTTGTTTTGGGTCTTCTGTCTTTGCCTGATTTGCTGAACCAAAGACCACTCTGAATCTCTGGCTGCTTCTTCGCTTCTTTGACTGCTGTCACGGTTGGATTAGTTGGAACCAACTTTCGCTGACGTTCAAGTGCTTTAGGACACAAAATCTTCGGGACTGAGTCAATGTCAGAATATGGACACTCTCCATTGTCTTTATCTGACTGATCAGGGCTATTATGCAAAGTCTTTTTGGAGTTTTTTCTACTCATGTCCTTTGACAATTTACTTGGTTTCTTCTTGCCCGATTTCTTTAAAGTGCTTGGTTTTGCTAGAGTTGTTATTGGCGATGAAATGGAACCATTGGTCATCAGCGATGTCTCAGAGGGGGTTGGGGAAGTAGAGGGGGGAAAAGTTGGATGGGACTTGTTCACCATCTCTGGTGTTAAGCTGTAAAGGAAGGTTTCATCTATGAAGGAGGAAGAGGAGGAAGCCATTTTTGGTCTCTCTTGTAAAACAGATTCAGCATCAGCCACACTTGAATTCCAAGAGTCCTGGAAACGCTTCGCAATCTGCAACAAGATAAAGAAAATTATTGCTAAGCCTTTAACCGCATATGCATTTACAGAATTATTTATCTCCAGCACCAATGTAATATTTATCATTTTTTATGGTGTGCAACCTAAACATTTTTAGGTCGTCCGACTAAATGTTCTCCAAGCATTGATGGTGAATTAAACCAACTTCTTTAGTGCATGCAAGTAGCGATTCATCATTCATAAAATTGTAATTACAGTGCATTTGATGTTCTGTTCCCTTTGCTTCCCCCTCCGGCGCAGTAAGCAGAGCTGTTCATATTCAAAGCCACCATGAAAAGGGTTAGTGGCTTTGTCCTCCACCCAGGTGACCTCCACAGGCTCCCCAAAGGTCCTAACATGGTAGAGTCGACAGGGTCGATCACTGGGCTCTAAGACAACAAGGAACATCAGGTTGAATCTCTTTAAACACAAATTCAAACTCCATCATGCTGCACAGGAAGCTTAGGAATGTAAAGTGGAACAGGATACTCTAAAATGAAAGTAACTTGACTTTCTACACTGAACTACAACCAAATGTTCAGCATGATGTGTTGTGTTGAACCAAAAACACCTTCATCAGGTGAAAAAATTACTTTGGACTGAATTTCTGATGAAATGGATATATGATAATCAGTAAAATCAGAAGAAAAACTGCAAAGTTACACTTTCAACATTCAAAACATTAAATTCCAGCAGTTTTTGATATTTATCTCAACCCATTAAGACATTCCACCAATCAAAGGAAGGAAAAACAATACAGTCATCATATTTACAATTTTCTTTGTTCTACACTCTGTACTATAATATAATTGGATTTTCATCTCAAATAATATTAATATCAGAATGTATTTAATGCTATTCAACTTTGATGCTTTTATCAGCAGGAGATGTCGGTAAACTGGGGATGAAAATAATCCATAGATCTTAATAAACTGCAACTCATTTACAATGCAGTGTCTGAGGAATTACAGCAAGTCAACAATGTCTCAGACCCACCTTTCACTCTGTGATAGAGTCCCTGTGTGGGGTCAACGATTACCTCACACGGCCACCACGGTCTTCGGTTGAACTTTGCCCAAATAACTTCACCCTCTAAAAACTTCACAGGTGGCAAAGGCTTTTTCTTGAGGCTGTTCTGCTGTCAACATGACAAGGAAGAAAAAAAAAACTGCTATAAGATGTATGAAATTACCCAGGTAAGTATTTAACAGGATTTGTATGACCTTGCTTGACCTGTTTAGGCCTCTGCGTGTCTTTGCCTAAACTGTTGTGGCAGATAAATGTAAACCACCTGTGACAATGTCAGAACACTGAAACAAAGCTAGTTGTCATATTTGCTGTTGTTAATGAGGAAAATCTATGCTCACACATATGCAACAACTTCTGTACTCAGTGCTGAGAAAAGGCCAAAGCATTTAAAGCTATTAGCTATATTTTTGTGCGTTTAAATTCTCTTCAAAATACTCTGTTCCTTAAAGCAGGGGTTCCCAAACGTTTCAGCCCACGACCCTCAATATAACAGTGCTAGAGACTAGGGACCCCCTATTGTACCTGGATGTGGTTTAAACATTTAACGTTGCAATGCGTACACTATTAGGAATATTAAAACACTGGCATTAGAACAACAGACAATAATTTTGGGGAATTTATTGTAAGAAACACTAGAAGCAGAACACACATAATCGCTTCAACTTACTTTTTTTGTATTTTCACCATTTTAAACCTTTTAATGTTTTCGGAAGGAACCTTTGACCCCCCGGGGGGTCCAGAGCCCCACTTTGGGAACCCCTGCCTTAAAGTAATTGAACTGAAATTGAAATAGCAGCCTGCTTCATCTGTCATATTGACTCAATTCAAATGGTACAGAAGACACAAAAAGAGAACCAGTAGACAGACAAAGACAATAAATAAATAAAAGTTTGAGTAAAATCACCTGGTACGTTTAGACATTACCACAGTTTGTCGTTCAATTTGTTGGTTTGTCATTTCAAACATAAAACTGCATGAAAATATGGTTTGGTTTCTTTTTTTCTGCTGTTCATAATGGAGTCAAAGGTTTTGTTTTCTCTGCTCTAATATAAGCTTGTTTTGCTTTTGTTCCATAACACGCCACAGGGACAACACTTTGGTGGCACTTTTTGCTTCTAACTATATCCTTTGTGTGACTGGGACCAACCGCTCACAGCAGCAGGTTGAGTGGACTCGCGGGGTAAATGAGCAGGCCTGAGTTATGGCTGGCATGTAGCAGGTCTGGCCAGACGGCTGATTCAGACTGCTGCTATGATGTAACTGTGGCTGGCCAGTTATTCACTTTCTTGCCAGGAGTTAGATAAGGAAATGTAAAATAATATGTCTTATGTATCAGTTAATTAATAAGCTACATCCCATACTGCGAGGTTAGCTTTAGGATCAAAACAAGAAGCAAAGGCTAACAGTTAGCATGTGGAGTGGTTAAGTGTATGTAAGTCACTAATTCATTTTTAAAAGGCAGCGAAAGCCACAGAATAGGATTAGATTATGGGATAAAGCTCTTGTTCCAGAGAGGGTAATTAAACAGTAAATGCCACTCTTTACTGATGTGATGTGACAGCTACAACTGGCAACAAATCTGAACAAACGTCTGAACTGTGAAGAACATAAGGGCTGAATATAACGTACCTATGAATAGTTGATGCATTCACCTACAGTCAGTTATCGAGGATCTTTAAAAGTAACTAACCCAAAGTTCAAATCAGCAAAATGATAATAATAAAAAAATCCTACCAGCACCTGTAAAACTCCAGTATTAACATGTTTGTATCTTGTTTGTTACATTCGTACAAACCCAGATATGTGAAAAACAACAATGTGTACTTTATGGGTTTATTGATATTACTACTTCATCGTCAGTGCCATTCAGTGCCATCCATTAATTAGATCTTTGTTATGAAACTTGAACAAACCTCCAGGAACTAAATGTAAAGCCACACTCTGTCACTGTCTTTTCTAGGTATTTTACTTTTGTGCTTTTAAGATCATAATTCCTTGTCTTACAACTTATATGAGGAGCAATACTTAACTAAATTATGTTGAACACAATTCCCATATTTTTTTTGTATGATGTAACTAGAAAGTAAAGTGTTGCCATGGGGGTCATTCGCATAGGTCAAATACTTCAGCCCACTGCTAACAGACCCTGGCTGAAGTTATGGTCCACTGTATCTTTATACTTGTTTACATTTTGGCAAACTGGAACCACCCAAGTAGGTCTGGTCAAATGTTTGAAAGTTCATGTTTGTAAAGTAGCCATGGAAGTGCAGGCGATTATCGCTTGATTATCTCTACACAAAGAAATCTCAGAGCTAAGATCTTCTTCAGGCAAATTCTGAAGTTGTGAGGAGCATTTTCTCCTACAGGTTTTTAAGTGGCTTTTTGGGTGTGATTTTGATTTTTAATGGACAGTTGAGACGGTGATGTCCTAAAATGAAGCGGACAATACATTAATCAAAATGTACGTCTGTGAGTTAAGCTTTGATCGAGTGCAATTTTTGGTGCAATCAATTAAAAAGGGGTGCATGGGAGTACCTGAACTTTAGCACTGAACCAACACTCCTGCATCTGCAGCAACTGCAGGGGGACCGCACCTGTCCCTCTAGCCCCATTCAGACTGCTATTTCAAGGCGTGATATTTACGTTTAGCCTCCAATCTGAATGTCTCTGAGGCTAATGGGAGGACGAAGTAATCCCCCTCCCTCTCCCTCCTCCCCCTTACCGCCTTTGGAAGTAGTAACAGATGCATTACAAGGGTGATACAGGATCGGTGGAGACGCATGGCTGACTGTGTGTGTGTGTATGTGGAGCGGCCGCTGTAACGTGCTCTCTCACGCTTCTGCACACCTTGAGGCAAAGTGAATTCACAGACTAGGTCCCCAATATTACGTCATTGTGGAATTAATAGAAATGTTTTAAGGTTTAATTTACGATGGAGCTTCTTTATGGAACAGGGGAACAAGGCAACAGGACTACAGTTATGGAGGCATGACTTGTGTCTCTACTCCAAAAAAAGGAAGCTGTGTGTTGATTGTACTAGGTTGTGGATATTGCTTATGAAACACTTAAAAGCCATTTGTGACAAGCAGACTTAGGATAATAAGGGTACAACTTGCCATTGAAGGCCTTGAGAGACTATCATCAAGCAGCAACAGCTCGGTGTCGCTCTCCCACTCGTCTTCCGAGCCATCCCAGTATCTCCTGCGCTGGCCCGACGACTGGGACCGGGTGACCACCTTAGCGGACGACACGTTAGCATCCTTACAGTCTGTATTTAAATCCTTAGGCGGAGACTGAAGAACTTTCCCCCCACTTTCCCGTTCGTCCTGTAGGCCTCCCACAGGTGACACGGCCTCCTGCTCTTCATCGTTGTCGTCATCCTCGAACAAGGACGACTCAAAGTGGAGGAAGCCGTTAGCAAAGGGGCTGTTGCTATCCAGAGAGAAGGCTGGGCTTGGCGGGCCGGAAAAACAACCCTCTGACTTTTTCTCCGAGACAGCAGAAGAGCTCTGGTTGACTGCTGGAAAGTCCGTACTTCCTGTTTGGACCACCGGCTGTTGCTGTCCAGAAGAAGACCTACCTAAACTCTCCCCTCTGCTTGTACCAGAATAATCACCGCTGGTGCAATCAGCCCAGGTGCCCCTCTCCTTCCCCCTCTCCTTCTTGTTCAGCCCCCACTCCCAGCTCCTCTCCGGCTCCCTCGCCGGCAGCACCAGGTCAGGCTGGCTCACCATGGTGGTGAGGTGCTGCAGCCTTCTGAGGGGGCTGTAGGAGGAGGAAGAAGAAGAGGAGGAGTGGTCCCTTTGTGCGAACCCATAGATGGACGCATGCTTGAGGGAGGAGGCGGTGGCAGACATGGTCAGGCCGATCTTATGGTCATGGCGTCTGGAGGAGCTGGAGGGGGCGGAGAGATCATGGCCTGGGGTCAAAGGGCAGCTGGACTGATGAGTCTCCCTGCCAGGGCCGGTATACAGCCCACTCATGCTGGCATGGTTCCTCCCTGAAACATAAGCAGAACATTTTCAGAGTGGAGACTACATCTTATGGATAAAACAATCATCAAGTTTGGTTCACAGTGAAGTATAAACATTTATAACTGTCCTTACACCAAAGCTCTATAATTTTCTGCAAATATTCTTCAAGGCTTCAACCAATTAGTTGTTGAATTGTGTGGAATTGATTGATTTTGTTCCTCATCATACCATAATATTCCTTCAATAGATGATATATTGGGCATGTTTCTATAATCCATTCAATAACATGCCCTCAAAACCGCTGCATCGTATCAAAAGTAAGCCAAGACATCTGGTAGATGAGACATTTCTAATTGTGACCTTAACTGATAAATCAATCCAGGTATAAAAACAACAACACCCTGCCTTCACATGAGGATAAAACGTTAAAGACTCACGAAACGACGAGCGGATCGACCTAATGTGACATTTCTGGAGGAAGATTCTGCGCAAACCACTGCAGCCTCACTGTCGAGCCGTTTCAGGAAGAATTATCGCGATATGATGAAAATGAATGACATGAAGTACGATAAGGTCAGCAGCCTGTAAACTGACACACACACACATACATGCAGAGTGATGTGCACCCACAGAGAAGCCAGTGGGGATTATCACAGCGCGTCATGATGATAGAAAAAATAAAATAAAATAAAAAATAAAAATCCACGCGACGTAAACACGCCGCGCGCTGTAACCACGAGCTGGAATTAAAATGGACCCGTTCGTGCGCGCGCGCGTGCATGGGCGTGTGTGTGTGCGTGCGTGCGTGTTAGACCTCTAAGTGTGTGCAAGTGCATGTCTGTGACTGTGTGTGTGTGTGTCGCTCCTTGCTCGTGGTTTTTACAGTGCCTTCATGAAAGATACACAAACGCTGTGAGATAAAAAAAAAAAAAAGGAGACGACGACACAACACAAGTTCACCTACACAAACTGACACACACACTGACTCACACACACTTCCACAGGCTTCCCCTCCGACAGATGCAGGCTATGTGGGGACCAAACAACAAAAATCACGGAGAAAACCGCCAAATGACACGGGATCTGGCGCGAGAATCTTACCATTCCAGTGTCGGCCACCGCACACGTCACCCTGAATCTGATCATTTGGGCGTTTAAATGTGCCAATTTCCAATTTTTTGAAAGCGGATGAGGAGAGTCCCAGCGGCAATACTACTAGGCCTGGATCCTGTGAAACGTACTCACTCACTCCCCCCCCCCTCCAACCTCCCTCCTCCTCCTCCTCCTCCTCCTCCTCCCCCCTCCTCTTCTCTACATGCGCTAAAGCCTGGTCCAGCGGCCCCTGGAATAGAATATTCAGGCGTGTTGTGCTCCTCCAGCGACACTCCCCCTGTCTGCTAAGAAAACTACAACTTTAAAATTCTCCGTTTTTTGGGATTCCTACTCTGTTGAATGGCTGTTTCCTTCCTGTGCAGACTCTGCCTGCCTCCTTCAAAGTCAGTCTCTTTCTGCTGTGCGCACTGCCAGGCGTCACCACTGCCTCCCTCCCCAGCCGGTCCACAGCATGGAGCACAGAAGGGGCCGTGAATCTCTCATGAAGAAAATAAAAATGCAAATCTGAGCTGACAGTCACCGGAAAACGGACCGGACAACCCCAAAACGACACCTTCAAAAATCGCCCCGCCCCTCTTCTTAATTAAAAGCATCAATTATTAACCTAAAGCCGGCTGCCATCACTATTCACCAATGACATGTCACATGCCAAACTTGTGCCAACAACTGGCATCTTTGACACCACCAACCCCCGGTACGCACATGCGCCTTGAAACGGACAATATAAACAATTGGAAGTCATTCAAAAAAAAAAAAAAAAAAATGCCCCCATAAAACACTACACATGAAAAGCAGTGAAAATGGTGCAAGCAAGGCTACCCGGAAAAACAGGCGGGTTTTCTTTCCTGAGACGAGTTGCTGTGTATTCTCTGGCTGCTCACCCGGTCCCTTCAAAATGGAGTCCTCCAGCCTTAGAGGAGGAAAAAAAAAAAAAAAAAAAAAAGCAGGCCACAAAGTGTTAATATATGCTCGATATAAAGTTCACCCAGCCACGGAGAAAGTGAGCCTCAAAGCGCACCTCTCTTGTGTTCTGGAGGTGTTTGTGGAAGCTGATCAGTCCTGAATCCCCCCCCACCAACCCCTGTCTCGATAGCAAAATATTCTTAACATGTTATGCCTCCCAAAGTCACTGTCTAATGAGCGTTTCTGCCACGATAGGGGGGACTGAGGCACACTTACCCTCTGGTGTGTGCGTGTGTGCGTGCGTGTGTGCCAAACGCACAACGCCACAACATTTATATGAACTGTAGGCTTCAATCGAGCTGATTTGGTTTGTTTTGTACATATGGAAGGGGAAAAAACACACGGCCAGCTTCCCTGTTGTACAGAAACGAGGGGGTGAAACAGCAGCAGCTCTCGGCCGTGGAGACTCGAGCTTCTTCTGCTGCGAGATTTCAGCCTTGGTGTGTTTTGATGTTATAGGAAAAGAAACATCCACATTTGCAGATTTTTTTGGAGACGATATGTCAGAGATGATAATGACGGGCAGGAGGGGGGGGGGGGTGGGGGTGTTACAGGTTTTTTTTTTAAACCTCACTCATTCACACTCTCACTCTTGTCACCGGGAAGCGATGAAGGGGAAAACGGCGTTTGTGTTCGTCACGGCCGTCCTCTTCTTCTTCCTCCGTGGGAAATAACTGAATAACGAAGTGAAACAATAGCAGCTTGTTTGGATCTCTGTTGAGCTTAAGAGTCGCTGCAGGATGTTAATGCTCATCTATTTTTACGTTTTAATGCCACACACACACACACACACACACACACACACGGCTTCCCGGTGAATATCAGCCCCTCACTTTCCCCCGGTGCTTCCTTTTAGTCTGACTCAGCTGTGAAAGGGACACAGGCAGGATTTGAACACCCTTTTTTCATTCGATTCGGTCCTTGCAGAGGGAGTTCGTCGTAAAAGGGAGAGACAGACTTTTTTTTATAAAGCCAGACAGGAGGGAGAGAGAGAGAGAGACAGACAGGCAGGCAGACAGGACAGGGCCTGCTGCGGGTTAGTGAAGCGCAGAACAGCGCCGCGAACCGGCAGCACCGCGCACTGCTCCCGTTGAGCGGCCGTCATTGGTTTCAGTATCATTACACCTATGAGTCGGTTAATCTGCAGAAGTTTCCACCTCACTGGGTTTCCACGGTGTAGTCAAACCGGGGTTTCTCTTGACAAAGCAACAATGATGAAAATCTGAATATACTCTAAAGCTATAGAACATGTGACCATTAAGAAAAAACACTTAGAATACATTTTTTAAATCACTGTTATGTCTCAGTAGTATCAGAGACGTCAGAAGGTCTAACCATCAGTTATGTTTCAACATGACTTAGTAGACACCAAGGTCAAGCATTGCGTCATGGATAGCACCTCACTCCCTCTTTTGGCATTTTGGCTGTTGAGTTCCTTTAATCTGTAAATGACCATATATGGACAAGTAGGCGGAGCTTGAGAGGAGCGAGTGTGTTTGCTTGATCAAGGTGAAACCATAGACTGTAAATATTAAACCCGTTAATGCATGGTGCCTTTGTTATTCATTTTGATGCTAATTCTGGCTAACATAAATAAAGACTCAAACCAGTGGCGGTTCTAGACCATTTCTACTGAGGGGGCCAAACGGGGGCCAGTTGTTTTATCAGAGGGGAACATTAAACACAGGCGGAAAATAGACAGATGATCGCTTTAAAAAATATATATTATGCCAAATAATAGCGCACATCATAAAATACCTCAACATAAAATTCCATGATTTATTTACCTGTTGGTTTGCCATTTAACTGGCTACAAAATGATAGTGTGGGGGCGCCTTAAAACCACCTACTTCTCTGGTCAAAACAAAAACAAACCATTCTGGAGCAGAATCTAAACGTAGATTTATCATTTAATTCAGTAGATATATACATAGTGGACTTTTAAGACTAGAGACTAGAGAGACTACCATGATTGAAAGACTTTCAGAGTTGTACCTGATAAACACTGTGTGTAGAATGAGTTGAAAGAAATGTGTAAGTAGAAAAACAAAAGTATAAAATATAACAATTATGGGTATTATCAGCAAGAAAAAGTAAAAGTACACATACATTATCATTCTCTCAGCTTTGACTCCTGTTCATAAATCAAAAAACAAAATTCTCCAGTAAAATACGAAAGCCTTACCTAATAAAATCGTAGATTTGGACTCCTTGTGTAATCCAGTTATTAAAAACTAGCCAAATGCGAGCAGCTAAAACAGTAAAGTGCTACTCACACATCTATAACTCAGTATTTAAGATTTGATAATGTTATATATAGTGAATCAGTCACAGGGACATTGTTCTTCAAAGTTTGGACTTTGATAAAGCATAAAGAGTCAATTATTTCCACTATCATGTTGGGAAGTCCCACCAGCTGGATTTAGCCTCCATTCTAGTTAATATGCTAATCCTAAACACAATTAGCATATGATCAAAGTGTCAGTGTTACTGACTAATCAAAACACTCGGTTCTCTTTCCCCCCTATGCATGACTCAGCTGAAATAAGTTTCTGTTCTGGTAATATGAGTCATCTCACCTCAGGCGTCTGAATGATTTAGTCCCATTTTTATCTTTGTAAAATACACATAATGATTAAATCAAGTGTTGTGGTTTCCTGAAACTCTGTTTGTTGATTGCTCATCTAAAGTAGGCAGACTATGTACGTAGCTGATGTAAGGAATAATGTTTGAATGAAAGTCAGATTTCATACTTCACTAAACAAATCATGAGCAACACGACATCTGATTTTTTAAATGACAGTATTTATTTGATCTTGCAGAAATCTGCCAAACAATGGCCTAAGCCACCTCTGTTAATGTAAAGCTCATTTTAAAAACAGTTAAAAGACATAATCCAGATTAAAAACACTGTAAAAACCACGGCATGTTTACAAAGTGGAGGTTATCATGATGCACTCATTGTTTTACTGTTTACCATTTTGAAGCATTAAGTTTGAGATATTTAGTTTTCTTTTCAGTAAATAAAGATTTTTATTTTGTTAAATTCAGGAGGATTTAAAGATTATAAGATTCTTATATTTATAAATATTTCGTAAACATCAACACAGTAACAACGTTTACTAATGTTTTTTTTTTTAATTTCTGGAGCAGGAAACAGGGAGCCACCCAGTCAGCCACACTGGAGTTGGCGTGAAACTCTGGCTGGATGTCACAGACGTGCGGCAGCAGCTCGCCCAACACCGCTTCTTTTTAGTATTTGTTGAAGGGTTACTTCACCCGTTGGAACATGAATCTGTATTGACATTGGGTCATATATGTAGTAAAAATGTGAAATACATTTTGAAGTTGGTGCCTTCTTGGCCGAGAAAAGGCAGAATGTGTCTTTTTGGCTCATGTTGATGAAAGACACCAAATCCCAGAATGCACAGCACCGCAGGCCACACAGAAATATAGTAATAAAAACATTTACAGACATATTTACTTCAACACAAAAGGCCATTTCCTCAACTGACTCCGAGATTTCTTCCAGAATTGATCTGGGAAATTCCTGTCAGAAAACAGGCTCTATGTCTGTGTCCATAGACAAACAGTGAGAGCACCGACACTACCAGTCCGCCCCAGCTCGAGCCGGCCCCGGCTCCTCGTCCTCACCGCCGCCGACAAGCAGGCCTTATGTCTCGGCTGCTGAGCTGGCAGCGACCGGCGGCAGCCAGCAATATAGCCGCGAGACGGTTGCTGCCGACAGGCCGGTCTTGTGTCGCAGCGGCCCCGGCGGCTAGTGCAAAAATCTTCATTTTGCGTCGCTGGAAGCTCCTTTTCAGACTTAGAAATACAAAGATTTCCCATCTCAGGGGAAAATGAGGGCGGGATGCACGACCATTCAAAAATATTACCAGGTTTCTAATAATACAAAGCTTAATGCAAATGGATGAAGTATCCTTTAATAGAAGGGCTCTTTACATACAGCATCCTCTGCCTTCAGTGTATGAACGTGTGAATGTGTCACGTAGTGTAAAAGCGCTTGGAGTGGTCAGAAGACAAGAAAAGTGCAGTCCAGGTATTATCCCCCGAGTCATCCCATGACCTTTTGAATTTCTGTTGTGACCTTTTGGAGGGACCTGAATCTTATCACATTGGGACCA